TTGTAAAAACGTACCAGAATCTGGAATACTCTTATTGAAAATTTAGGAAGAAAATCAAGTCCACTGAATTCACAGTGTCCCCTTAAGGAAATTATTCCCCTCTAGTATCCAAGGTTTGATTTGGAATACAACCTCCCTGGGTAAAATGATTTTAATCAGTAGAGTATAGATACCAAAAACTCTACTGTCAGCGAATCAATCCACAGCAGGAAAGTACACGAAGAAATATATGTTTTTAAGAAAAAGGAAGATCAGAAAAAAAAAATTCGTAGGAAATATTCTGAAGACTGAATGGTATTTATAGGCAAGAAGAATATATTCTAAAAGGTTGCAACCCTTTCAGAATTAACACGACCATTAATGAAAGGTTGCAAACTTTCAAATGATATTGACTGTTCCTGAAAGTTGCAACCTTTCAGAACAGTCATGGCGGGAAATTTTGAATATAACGGAATTTAAAATGGGTCACTCGAGCGGATCCGAGTCGGGTCGGGTTAACTAAAAAGTTGAAAACATTTCGGTTAAATTCTGTTATCAACTAATTTATTGAAAATAATTTTTGGCCATTTAAAATTAATTAATAAATAATTAAAATAAATTTTGTCCAAAAAATTATCTCTCGATTTGCCAAAGCCGAAGCGAGCGACGACGACGGCGCGAGGGGTTCCCTCTTTCCAACCCTTTTAACAACTAATAGGAGTGTTTATTTATTTAAACTCTCCTATTTTCCTTTCCATTACCGATGAGAGACTATTGCCTTTTTCAATAAAGCATTAGAGGACTTTTCAAGTTCCCAACCTTTCAAGTTCTAAACCTTTCAAATTCCTCTCCTTCCCTCTATTTCCCATCAATTCTTGTTACATACCCAACAGGTAACAGTGTCCATATTCTCCACAAAAACATGAAATATTTTCTCATCTCAGTTTGGTTCTTTATTTTTAGCAATCAAAATTTAGCTAACAGCTAACAAACTTATTGTTATTATGCTAATGTATATGTATATGCTTTGACAAAAAAAAATCATAGAAGTGTGAGAAATGTCAATCCAATTACATCTTGTGCATATTTCATCTAGTAATGCTACCGAACATATTTCTCGTTTCATTCACAACTATAATACATATTCACAAACTCTCCTATTTTCCATTTTTCATTTTATTTCTGCTCTGACTATGAGCATCAGCAAAAAAATGAAGTGCTAATTAGAGATGATCGATGTTGATTCTACCGGTTAACTAGCTTAAGGAGGAAGAAGATTGACTATGATTTAAACAAAAACTCGTCTTTTTGCTTTTCATTTTTTGTTTTTTAGCTTCTTTATTTAATCTTGCTTTAATTGCAATTTGTAAGACTTTTACTCAATAAGTTGCTCCCTCCGTCTCGAAATATTTGTCATATTGCATTTATCAAAAGTTAATTTAATTAATTTTCAAAAATAAATTAAATTATATTAATTTGATATATTACAAAACAAAAAATTAGATATTCTAAAACTATATGTAAAGTATTATAAATTATAATTTTTTGCATACTAATATGATGAAAAAATTTATTTTAAAATGTTAGTCAAAATTTTTATAGTTTGATTCTAAAAATTTAAACTATAACAAATAGTACCGGACGAAGGGAATAGTAAAATGTCAGTTAGATAGAAAAAGTAGTACTTCATCCATCTCATTTTATGTGGCAATATTTAAAGACAGGGAGTGTAACAAATAAACTCATTTTTCTCACTCTTTATAAATACTTTCTTCGTTTACAATTGTTTGTCAAGTCATGCACTCCCATCAAGGAAAATTTGATATATGGGTGTAATTTAACTAATATAACCTTTTATATTAGCAAAAATATAAAAAAAAAATCTATATAACTTTTCAATTGAACAAATGGAGTTATTATTAAGGGCAGAACTAGAAAAAAAATTAACTAATTATTTTTTGATTGTTTAAATTGATAATTAATTTTAGACATTTATCATATCATATTATTATATTATAAGTGGGAAGCCTCTACTTCAAAAGTTGAATTACAAAAATATCCTTATAATATCATAAGATTTTTGAACAAAAATGTAAATATACATTATTTATAAATAAAAACTATTGTATTTTCTATTAAACACTACATATTTATTATAATAAAAAATTAATATTCTAAAAATAAAGAACTTACCATCTATGACATGAATTCATCTAGATACAATGAACATTTGTAATTAAATGACAAAAGGAAATCAAAAGTTTTAAAACAGTTAAAATGATCATTTAAGTGTACCTCCTTTACTCCTATCGGGTAAAGGTATACAATTCTTTCGATGAATTACATTCATAACATTATATTTGATGCTAAGTAGTTGCTTCAAAAAATACTTACAGTGGAAGCTTGCAATCGTTGGGCTTTTAATTTTCTTTCTGTTATAATTAGCGCAAACTAACGATGAATTATATACTTGGTAAATTAATTAAATTTATCTTATAATATATATTATATTATATTAAAAATGAGAAAGCTTTTTTTGGTGCAAAGTTAGATTTACCAAAATACCTATCAAAAATTAAAATTTTATACCCTTTAAGAATGAAACTAGTCATATAACATTAATAAAAATATATTAATTAATTTCTTGTAATTAATAATATTGCTTCAATTTTTTAAACAACTTAATATGTCATTTATAAATTCCTATACCTTTAATCATTTTTACATCTTCTTTAAAACTATGAATGTGACAAAATAGGATGTTTACTCTTTTCTTTTCTCTTTATGAAAAAAAAAGGTGAAACATATAATATTAGATTAATGGTGGATAAGTTATGTATGAAGAGAAAATTAAATTTTATATAAAAATAATAGTTATTTATAAATATTCTGATTTTCAAAATATAAATAATAAGACTTTTTACATCATAGTTTTAAATATTTATAGTTAACTAATTAGTTTAAAGTGTTTGTGGATAAAAATTTGATACAATACTTTAAACACATTCATTATAATTATCAAGAGATTCAAAAGGCAAAGTAAAAAAGTTGAAAGGTTTTGTTTTTATTCCACTCAAACTTAATATTACACTATTTCTTCTAACATTATTCTACCAATAAAATGAAACTATCGAGAAATTTAGTTTAGATAGTTCTTATTTTTCTTTTTTGCTTTGCAAACTTTTTTTTGAATTATAAACGAAGTTCATTTTATTAATTTCTCATATTATTATCTCGATGCATTCACTAGGAGATCAGAAAATTAGAGTGTCACAATTAGTAGCAAAACAAAGTAAGAAATCTCAATTAGAAATATTTTATTATTTAATAATATTATCTTTTAAGAAATAATACACTCATGGGTTAGCGCGTGCTTGGGAACTAGTTTTTAATATAAATGTGGACGGAAAAAATATATTAATTAAAATAAAAAATGTAGCACACATTAATGGACCGAGCTTCACGCCGTTTACCAAAGAGATAAAAAAAAAGGAGAGACGTACAATAATTATGTGCACAGTAAGACTTTACAGTCTTTCTTCTTCTTCTCCAAATCTTCATATGTTTTCAACTTTGCTACATTGAAGTTTGCCCTGTGAGTTTCCTATTTTGCTGTAGAAGTTTGCGCTGTCAAATACTAGTAGATTCCATTATCTATTGATGGGAAGCAAGTATTCCAAGGCAACAAATTCCATAAATGATGCTTCTAACTTGAGTTATGGCATTCCTTTTGAAAATTATCGAGTTCCTTTTGTAGATTTGGAGGAAGCAACTAACAACTTTGATGACAAGTTTTTCATTGGAGAGGGTGGATTTGGGAAGGTTTACAGGGGTGTTTTGCGTGATGGAACAAAGGTCGCCCTGAAAAAGCATAAACGTGAGTCCTCACAAGGTATTGAAGAGTTCGAAACAGAAATTGAGATTCTCTCATTTTGCAGCCATCCGCATCTGGTTTCATTGATAGGATTCTGTGATGAAAGAAATGAGATGATTCTAATTTATGACTACATGGAGAATGGGAACCTCAAGAGCCATTTGTATGGCTCAGATCTACCCACTATGAGCATGAGCTGGGAGCAGAGGCTGGAGATATGCATAGGGGCAGCCAGAGGTCTTCACTACCTTCATACTAACGGAGTTATACATCGTGATGTCAAGTGTACAAACATATTGCTTGATGAGAATTTTGTGCCAAAAATTACTGATTTTGGAATATCTAAGACAATGCCCGAGCTTGATCTAACCCATCTTAGCACAGTAGTGAGAGGAAATATAGGCTACATTGCCCCTGAATATGCTTTGTGGGGACAGCTGACAGAAAAATCTGATGTTTATTCTTTCGGTGTTGTTTTATTCGAAGTTCTTTGTGCTAGGCCTGCCCTATATCTTTCAGAGATGATGAGTTCTGATGATGAGACGCAGAAGATGGGACAGTTGGAACAAATTGTAGATCCCGCTATTGCGGCCAAAATAAGACCAGAGTCCCTCAGGATGTTTGGAGAAACAGCGATGAAATGCTTAGCTCCGTCTAGTAAAAATAGGCCATCAATGGGTGATGTGCTGTGGAAACTGGAGTATGCACTTTGTCTCCAAGAGCCTACCATTCAAGATGATCCTGAATGATTATTTGTTCATGAGCAAGTGTTTCACATGTTGTCTATGGTTTCTATTAAGTTCTTATTGTAAAATGAAGTTGGCTTACCTCTCTCTTCTCAGATTACTCTGGATGTATGATGTGTTGTGAAATAGAAGTATAACGTAACATCAAAGCTTGTTGTTTTTTCGTTAATATTTGGCGATAGGGATGGCAAGGTCAGGTCTGGTAATATGGTTGATTTGTTTTGCCACTTCTTTGAAAGAACATTCAAAACTGAATGACAAGCAGCAATTAGATTCAGTAAAGATTTGGCCTAATATTCAAGCCAACAGCAAGTTTTAGATGACTACATTCATGGCGAAGTAGATACTTTCAAGGATCTTCATGAACCAAAATGAAAAAGCTTACTGAAATGAGTAATGAATAAACCGAAACCAAAAATTACAGAAGAAAATTATACAGAAATGATTCCGGATTTGTAAAGATAACACAACCATTCTTTGAAATATCACTCCCTATATTTACAAACACTTCACCATTACAATTTACAACTAACAAACATGTGCTTCAAAGTAATGCCATTAAGAAGAAAAAAAAAAGGTAACTTTTGGTTCATGAAGCTCCATCTTTTTCTCATTCTCTCATTCATACAGGGAGGATTAATTTGTGCAGGCTCATCTTCTTCTTTCTTTACTAGCATCTCAACTGCCTTGGACATGGATGGTTCAAGTCTCAGAACCTCTTGTGTGCACAAAACTCTTACATGTACCGCTCGTAGAACCTCCATTTTTTACATTGCTTGAGTGATAGTTGAAAATGTTGCCATGCTTGTTTCATCCACGGCAATAGTTAAATTAGTGAAGCAAAAACTTTTAGGCCAAGTCATATATACTCTGTGAAGAAAAAAAATACAAAATGAAAATTAACCATCGACTAAAGTTACGCGTGTATCTTCATATATACATGTCTACCAGCTCATCAAGCTAACTACATTTGGTTCCAATTTACCAGCTCATTAGTAACTAATCTAATAGTCTAAGTAAGCAAGGCTAAGTTAACCAAGATGAGACAGTCAGCTGGTATTGGTATGTCACCGATAAGAATGTGCTTTTCTGATTGCTTGTTCCACTTAAAGAGGGGAACTTTGACACACATTGTGATGTGGCCAGAAATTGAAAATCGTGCAAGGATTTTTTTCTCAATCCTGTTTTACTTATACTATAAAACTCCCCTCTCTATCATTTTGTCAAACAGTTGTACCATATGGATTTAGGCATATTTACATGATAATGCTTTATATAAAAAGATCTTATTTTTCTCTCCGGTTTTATTAAAATGCTTTCAGCGGTGTTCACGTTCAAGATGAAGAAATAACATCTAAAAGAAGAAAAACATAAAAAGAGATAATCTTTACCTGCTCCTGATTCTTCTTCTTTTCAAGAATTCAACATAAGAACTCCACTTGTTCTAGAAATAAACAAAATGCCTTGAACTTTAGCTTCTGCTACCTCTGAAACAGAGAAGTGTTGTTGTTTTAAACTAGATTCTGCAAAAGCATAAAATTCTACAGACCTCTTTCATAAAACCACAGTAATTCTAAATACACTTCTGGTGACAAAGAGTTTAGCTGACAAATATAGAAGCCTGTCAATTCGTCAATTTTATAGCAAAAAATTCAAAAACATTTCACAAAAAAGTAGTTGTGACATCAGTTTTCATTTGAACATAATAAATTTGGCTAGGGATAACAATATTGTCATTTCACAACTATGATGACAGTTGAATGAAACAGTGAATTAAAAATTACATGAACCATTGATCTAATCTAGACCTCAAGTAAGCCCAAGAAAAGTTAAGACTGTAGCAGAAATATGAGTTCGATTTCTTTTAATGTATCAAGTAATACTAGCAAAATAAACATGTTCTGGTGTAAAACAAAATGAATAAATGTTAAATGCACTTGGATGAACACAGCAAGAACAAACCTTTGCTAAGAGTCAAGGGGCTGTTCTTTAGACCAATCTGGAGGCTGTATAGTAACTGTGAATGAATCATTTGCTATAACTTCATGTTGCATAGTTTGAATATCTTGGGCTGAATTGGCAACATTCCAGTTGCACCAGTTCACCTCAACTCTATTTAGACAAACAGCATCTTCAAAACGAGAAGGGATTTTCTCAAGATGCTTACATTTCGTTAAAACCAAATGTTCAAGCTTAGGAAAAGCATCATCAGAGATGGACCATTGTACAACTTTGAGGTTGTCCAGTTTTAAGTATTTGAGTTCTAGGAACTCTGAATCTTTCACTTCCCAGTGATCCCCTTCAAAGGCTCTGAGCAATAACTTAAGAATCACCAAGTTGGGCAGTTCTGCAATGATCGAAATTTGGGTCCAAGGTAGACGGAACTTTGATAAAGTCAGTTCCCTTAGTTGCGAGGGGAAATTGAACTTGTGAGGAAGTTTGGCTGGATAGCTGTTCGAAACCAGCTTGAGGGACTCAAGGTGACTTAGAAAATCTAATCTGGGAAAACGAACACACCTACCCTTCAATTTCCTTGAATAACCAAATGTCCCTGAAAATATGCAACTCAATTTTCTCAATTTTGGCATCTTCCTCAAAATCTTCTCTGCGTCTTTACCATAAAAGAGACGCGGAGTAGAAAAGGTTTCCAAATTAGATAATTGTGAGTTACCAGTTAAAACATCCATGTTCTCATGCAAACCAAAAGAAACCCGATCATTTACATGTATATGCCTCAATTTCACCATCTTCAGAAGTGAACAAGGTAATATCATCTCTCCTCCCAATCCTCTTACGACAAAAGTCTCAAGATTTTCAAGCTTAGCTATAGATGAAGGAATTGAATTTGCATCAGTTTGGGCCGCAAAGTACTTCATCTGAATTAGATATTGTATTTCAGTGGGAAAAGTACCACCAATGTTGAATGATTCCAAATCCAACACTTTAACAAGCTTGAAGCTCTCAAAAATGAAGGAGATATCACGCGGCCATAACAAGTTATCTGGATCAATTGCATTGAATAGTAAAGAGCGGACATTAGAGCGAGATGGGCGCCACAGATCAATTTCATCTTGGTAAGAATGAACGAACAATCGGTATTCTTCCAATCGTTCAGGAAATACACCTTCTCCACTGAATTGGATAAAAGAGAACACATGGAAATGAGAGTTGGCATAAACATAATACAGTAAAATTAATACAGTTCTTTTTTTTTGGTAATGTAAAATTAATACAGTTTTTTTTACCTATTGATCTGGAGAAGGAAATCCTCTTGTTTGGCCTTTTCCATGCAGAATTTATGCAACAAATCATGAATGCGGCACGTTTTCACCTTGGCATTAGGTCTCTTCTCCATGGCCATCACCAGATTCCTACCAATAAGATCGTCCAAGAAACCTTGTGCGGTATCTTCTTGTCCATTTTCGTTGTTTGCTTGTACAAACCCTTCAGCTACCCACAACTTGGTCATTTTTGAGACATGAATATCCTTTCCCTGCAAAAATCCTCCAAAATAGAGAAAACAAGGCTTAAGATAGTGTGGTAAATTCTTGTAACTGAATCCAATTATAGATATGCTCTCTTCCAAGCTGCCAATCCTCTGGGAACTTAGACTTTGTTCTACTACTTTCCATGAATCTAGTGTCTTCTTTTTCTGTTTCAGAACACCAGCTACTAACACAACTGAGAGAGGCAACCCTCTACAACTTTTTGATATTTCAAATCCCACATCTTCAAGTTCAGGTGGACAGCTCTCTCCTTGAAAGACTTCTTTCTGTAATAATGTCCAACTCTCGTCATCTCTGAATAAACGAAGATGATGGGGATCACTTTCACATTTGACATATTCGGCGACATCATTCAAGCGGGTTGTTAGGATAATTCTACTCCTATTTGAAACATCACTGAAGCACATACATAGATTGTCCCACACTTTATAGTCCCACACATCATCAATGAGAATCAAGAATCTCTTGGTCAACAAAAATCGGCGTAGCTCATCAGCTATTTCTCCATCTTCTTTTTCATTGCGATCAGAAGGCTCAAGCACATCATTCAAAATGGTGAGCAACAACTCTCTCCATGAATATAATTGAGTCACAACACATTGAGCATGGACATCGAAGCGAGAGGTGACTTCTGGATCATTGTAAATCTTCTTTGCTAGTGTAGTCTTGCCCAATCCTGGCATGCCAACGATTGAGATGACATCAAGCTCAGGTGATCCTCCAAGTAGTTTATCCTTTAATTCATCTATTGTATCCTGAAAACCCTCCATTTCTTCGTTTGCTCTTTGAGTATAAGCTGAAAAAGATGGTGCTACATTAGTGGTAGTCTTTGCAACTTCATGCACAGTAACTTCAGTGTTCCTTCTTTCACATGTCTCCCCAACAACTTTATTTACAAGCTTAATATTCTCAAGAACTTCAGAAATCCAAAGAACTTTGTACCAGAGTGGATGAGAATAGGCCAAGCATGAGTCAATGACATACTCAGCCTTGTATGCCATTACAGAAACTCTTGCTATAAGACCACAAGCTTCATCATGCTCATCATAGCTTTCTGAAAAATGATCAATGAATGATCTTAGGCACAATAAGCCCTCCTTGACTGATTCAATCTGATGTTTTAAGTCGATTATCAAATCGAGCTTAGAACGTAAAAGCTCCTCCAATTTGCCTAAAAAGCAATTGAGATATCCTAATCCATTTGTCTTAGGGAAGCTATAACTTGAAGAATCTGGTACTTTCAGACAAATAATCTTTACCTCTGCCTCAACAAACTTAAGCAATTGCTTGACATCAGAGAGATATAGTGTGTAATACCAAGCAGGAATATAACCCTTGACAGAGAAGAAACAAATGTAGTTTTTATCTTGAACACGTTCAGCGAGATCTGTAAGTTCTATATGCATATTCCGGTACTGTACAATATCTACAAGTAAAGAGCCAATGTGCAATAGTTTGTCTTTAACTACTGAGATTTGGTTAAGAAGATAAGAGACTGAACCAGCATCATAGTCCAGCACCTTGTCCTGTTGGGTTAACATAATGTTGATAAAGCTTTTTCCATCTGTCTTACTCGTCTCACAATGTGTTGCATCCAAAACTTGATCATATAATTTTCTGGCCTCCTTTATCTCAACAGACTCAATCTCTCGGAGAAAATCAGATGGAAGTCCCATTTTCTCAGTGCTGCTTGCATCCTCTAAACTTCCATCAGAAGAAACAGCATCATCATTCGGCACCTTGGCCTGGTTTTTTAATAAGAAATTAACAAGGCCTTCTCCATCTGTCAGGGAAAAAGGTGATATATCCAGAACTTGCAAGCAAACATTTCTGAACTCTACCTTGACAGACTCAATCTCTTGCAGAAAATCAGATAACAAGGGCCTCATTTTCTCAGTGCTGCTTCCGTTCATGAAATATTCATAACAAGAACCACTGAATATTGCTAACCTTTTTGCAGTCACTTCAGCATGCATTAAGAGATCATCCAATCTGTAAAGCTTTTTCCTAAGAAGATCCATGAGAATAGATCTAAGGAGAATAAGCTCTTCATGAGCACTCTCAATCAGATCTAGAACTTGATTTCCCAAAGTGGATTTGTGCTTCAGTAGATCCATCAAGTTACCCTCAGACTTGATAAGCCAGAAAGTCACAGTCAAAAATTGAAGTACCTGATTGATCTCCCTACACCTGTTGTTATTCATATTATCCTCATAATGTAAACACACAGCAGATTCCGCCTCAATTGCAACAGCTTCATGTCGCATTGAGAGATCATTTTGCTTCCTGCATTCAGTGTGAGGAACTGGAGGTTCAATAAGATATGTAACCATGAGCAACAGCCCATCATAAAACTTTTTGACCTCATCTGCAATAGTAAATGTCAAATTGGTTTCATCCTTCCGTAGCAGATTGACAAGAATATATTCATGAAACCTCTTCAATATCTCATCCATCTTGGGAATACGTGAGGATGATGAATAGAAGGAGTACACATCTGTATTGGGACCACATAAGAATGATGTATTGGGGGATTCTGCATCCCTATTAGGACGATGTGGGGAAGATGGAAAGGAGGCTTTTAGCATGCTGGAATAGGAATCAATGGCCTCAAAGTTCATGGGAAGAAAGTTCAGCAGATCTATCATAGGATGGTCTGGTGTTGATGATGCAGAAATGCTGGGACACATTTGTCTAATAGCGACCTTGATAAACTTGAACTTAAGAAGCAATTGAAAATGCAAGCAATTAATTTCCCTGGCCAAGTCATTTTGATTCAAGTCATGACAAAGAGAATCACAGACTGACCATGCTTGACTAACTGCAGACTGAATATAGTTCAAAATAACAGTTATCCTGGTCTGCTCTTTACACTGGTCGAACGCATCCATGAAATAACTTCTAAAGAACATCAGCTCTTCCCAAACATAGTCAATCAGATCTTTCATAGGAACTATTATGGTGCCTTGAATGTTTTGTAGACGAATCAGATCAACCTCTACTTTAACATAATTAAACTTCATTTGCAAATGAAAAAGCTCATGGTCTATTTCACTAGTCTTATCCATATCCTCATCATAGGAGTAGATGGCATTTGCAGACCCAATAGCCAGATCTTCCATATTCAATTGAAGAGAAATCAGTTGTCGATGTGAAACAGGATAAGATTCTATGTCCCTGAGGAATCGACAAAGGTAAGAAAGTCCTCGTTGGAGCCATCGAATTCGATTATCACATCTTAGTCTCAGATCATCTTGGAGAGCACTAACAAAATCAAGCATATACTTGGCATTCATTGTAGTCTTTGATCTTGATGAATTTAACCCTATCAAGGCATTGAGATAAACCAGCCTCAATCCTGGGCTAAAAGGACGACTTATCCTTTCCAGCAATTTAGAGAACTCGTTATCCATATGGCAGCTCGACCCCAAGACACATAGTTGTGCTGCAGTGTAAGCTACATCCTCAACATGGTAGAAGAGATCCTTCATACTCTCATGCTCAATGCCCCGCTTTGAAATTAGTCTAAAGAAGACTTGTAGATGTCGAAGCTTCTTGTCAAGCATAGACACAGGAGGCCCTGCACTGATAAAGAACAATGCACGATGAACAGAACCAAGCAAGGATTCGATAAACCCCACCATATCCACAGTGATTGGGCTAGATGATCTTGATGGCTTTGAAGCTTTGATTCGCTTAGCAATATTCTCGGGTTCAATTATTTGCAGCAGCTCTGGGATCACTTGCCTTGTTGATCTTGACGCCTTTGCAGATTTGAATTTCTCAGCAATGTTATCCAGTTTAACGGTAAACTGAGAACGAGGAGGATGAGAACACATCAGAGAAAAGCCATCATGAGCTTCTAAAAATAGAGGCCTAAGATGTACAGATATTCCATTAGCAGGGTGACGCTTCTCCAGATTTGTGAGAAATACAGCAACATGTGTTAGGTGCTTTATAGCATCCTCCAATTGATTAGTGGTCCTTCTGTCTAAATGCTGGCCCTTCACAAGGTTTATAGTACCTATTGCATCGCGACACTCCTTGGCCATCTCCCTTCCACCTTTTAAGTTTCCTGTGATTGTTAATAAATCCTGCAAGTAATGAATCAGTATCGTCCGAATGTCGCTTGTAGCATTGCTAAAGTTGAATACAGATCTACGAAATGAACTGTCTCAAGAAGATGAACTGAAAATTTTCTCTACCAATAAAGTTGTAATGTGACAACAAAGCCGCCATAAGTATTGCTCACAATCCAGTTCAACATGATAGAAACTTCATAAAAACGAAGATTGAAAAATGAAGTGTGTGTATGTCTTTCGTCCCAACAGACCAGCAAATTGTGGATATTTTCATAAAAGGCTTGTTTGAACCAAAATGTGAAATTCTTGTAAGCAAGTTACGCATGATAAATACTAACATGTCAACATGAAGGGCAGTGTTGATTTGTAAATATCTGGCTAGGATCAGATCTAATTTTATAGGATATAAATAGATCTGACAAAATTAGCTTTAATATGCTATCAAATAGTTTAGGAAATTAGAGCTTCCCTTGATGCTCAAATCTCCTTGAATTAAGGAAATCTGATTGCTAGTTTATATCTCTCTACTATAAATTTGTACCACTACAGATGAATAAGAACGTACAGTTTTGGAACCAAAACTTACAGACTCATTCATCAAGGTTCATCACAGGAAAGACTACAAGGAAGTAAGAAGTTTGGAGGCACTATCTTGTGATACATTAGGATTTACTATTTAATATATTCTATGTTCAAGATTGTATTGTATGAATGGTTGACACTTATGCTTGAGATTTCTAAAGCTATGAAGGTTAAGTCCCTCGATCTTAAGACTTGTTGCAGCAACTATGTGATGACTTGTGTTTATACTTAAAACTTGCCATTTGAGATGCTATGTGAAGTGATTGTTGGAGCTCTTAGAGATGTTTGGGGTTTGATTTGTATTTGATCCGGGGGATGTGATTCTTTGTTTGATAAATGGAAGATAACCAACGAGATGATGGACTAGTTTGGTAGCTCAAAATTGACATTTCTTGTGAATCTTGCAAAATGAATTATATCCAACAACTTGAGTTGGAAGTGTGTTTTGGTGCAAAAAGGTAATAGGGATAATATGAGCATACAAGCATTGTCTTTTGAATATATAGGTTCCTTTATTTTATCAGATACTGTTCGTCTTCTAATCCAATTGCATACTAACTCTCTTGGGATATTGATCTTTATTGAATGTTGTGATGACTAGCTTATCATAAAGTTACTTACATTTGGAAGTTCGACGACATTTATAGTCTTAGTGATTATTATCTTCCTCCTAACCAACTTATTGTGGTTGTTGCGAACTTCAGTATTTGTTGTTTATCATGATACTTGGCTATAGTCTATACCATAAAAGTGTATAATTTGCAGTAGGTTATAGAAGTATCGGGCATAAATGTAATCATGAACTTTTCACTACTATTTTCTTCTTATGCATGATTGTGTGTGTCTTTGTGCTTGAGGGAATGTATCAAAATCTAGAAATCGGGGGTGGCTTAGTTTCACCTAATGATCATATAATCAATGGTGTAATATGTGATCTTTACTTTGAAGCATTGGTTATCTTAGTTCAAGAAGACACCTTTGATAATGGAGGTTACCAAGTTGACATCAAGCGTATAGACCAGTGGCGGATTTAGGGGGTTCAAAATTTGAAGAACTAAACACACGGACTAACCGAAGGGGGTTAAATATCTACTATAAATACATAAAGAATAATTTTTACGATATAGAAATAGTTATATTTTCCGCCGAAGGGGATTCAAGCTGGCTCCGCCCCTGATATAGACTATAGAGTGCTTCGAAATAGCATAGAAGCCTAGAGTCAAGTGTTGGAAACCATGGAGGAAAAACACAGTAAAAACTAAACCAAAATTTTTTGTAACTATTGAAAAATAGTTTCTCTCAATACTCACAATCACTTTTTTTTTCTAAAAACATGGCCAAATAACTCAACTCTCTAAAATAAGCATTTTTAACTTGATAAAAATTTAGTGAAACAATTTAAATCTCTCTAAAATAAGACTCGGATTTCTTTTTAATCATTCTAAATGGGGGAAATAACACATTTTTAATTTTCTATATTTAGTAATTTTAATTTTAAAAAAATGTATAGTCACACAGAGATACTCCCTCTATTCAATAATAGTTGTCAACTATACTATTTTAGGATGTCCAACAATACTTGTCTACTTTATAAAATGCATTGATAATTTTACACTTAGTTCCTGATGTACTTTTATCATTAATTATAGTCATTTCACTATTACATTTTTCAAGAGATTGTATTTATTAAATTCAAAGGGTATAGTTTCTTACTAATTGTGTAAAACAATAGTGGACCAATATTATTTGACAGTGGAAGTACTTAGTCTTTTTTTCTTCGTCATAAATTTCGTGTCAAGTCAAATTACATTATAAAAATTGAAATTGATACTTAGATCAAATCCAATGGTCTAAAGCCCCCCAATCTATACCCGAAATCTCAACTATATATTTCAACTTCACGGATGTCCTATCACTCCCTGAATTATTTAAAACTAAAATAATTTACTCCCTAGATGCTTACGTGGCACATTGTGGTATAGTGAGTGTATCTCACTCTCTGTAATAGAGTGAGAACCAACACAAATAATAAATGTGTATTTTTAGTTATTAATTTTCTTTCAACTTTACAACATAAATATGGCACCACCAAAGTTCTTCACCATCATGAAATCATTCCTATCACTACTTTAATTGATACACCAAAATTATTTATAGCAATTTCATCCATTACTCTCCAAAATCAAGAACTGTATATAAAAAATCTTTGATATATGCACCAATTTTTTTTTAAAAAAATCAAAGCAAAGCTTGGATAAGCTTAATATATGAACACCCAAATGATTTTCTTCAATAAACTTTGAATATTAAGATAATTTTTTATCTTATATTTAATACCCAACAAATCCATGACTAATTTTAATAACTTTTCCTTTTCCTACGCATCTGAAAAGTTAGTTTATGTTCTTCGTCTTCTTCATTCCATTGCTTTGAAATTTGATGCAAAACCACCCTAAATCATCTCCAGATTTCCTTAAATTTTAAATATAAGCTTCTCTCGATGTTTCCAACTTTTTGATATATTACCCACTCAAAAATGGTGGTCATTTCGGACGTCTCTTTAATTTGAATATCACATTCATAAATTCAATATATTCAACTTCAAATAATTAACAACCATCTATGTTATCAACAATATGTTTCAAATTGAAGATACAAAATACATTCATAAACTTGAACTTTTTGATATTAAATTGTTTTTTAAATAATAAATCAAAAAGGAAAATGAATTAAAAAAAGTTTTAAATAAAATTTCTTCAAAGAGTGAGTCTCACTCATTAGCATAGATGTGGTTATGACGTTTTAGGAGTGTAATAATTCTTGCATTAAACAGTTCAGGAAAGTGATAGGACACTCGTGAAAAAAGTACGAGCATGTAATTGGAGGGTTTTTAGACCATTTTCTCAAAATTTTAAAAACAAAAACGGATGCAGATCTGTGTTATAAGATGCAATTAGTTCATAGTTAAGAATATTGAGTAAATGAGAGAGGAAAATAAACAACTTACTACTTTTCGTTTAGTGTTTGATGGTTGAAATCTAACAGAAAACTCTTTTCTTCAATGATTTTTTTTAAGTCCTAGCTGCCTGCAATTAACAAAGCAAATGAAGGTAAATACTTGCAATTTCTTCTTTCATTTTATGAAAATCAGAGAGAAATTACTTACCCATAAGCTTAGAGTTCATACTGGTCTTCTTTTTGAGATAATTGATGAATGGTTGAGTTCATTTTCCAACAGTTATAATATTAAAAAGGTTAGACTGATTGATTGACTTTCATCAGCTGAGGGGTCGTTAGAAATTTACAAATTAATTTATATTTTATTTGAATTGAAAATTTATTTTTGTAATAAATTAAATCATTATTTTTTTTTATAAATTTATTGGTGAATATCTCGTCCAAATTAAAATTTGATAAGATAAGGGTGAATTAATAAAATCATAATTTTGAAATGACTTGGAAGATGGACTGGAATCAAAGCATCCTTAATTTGGAATCAAATGTATTAGTAATGCTTACATTAATAATAGATATAATACAAATATTGGACCTTAAACTTGACTTCAAATTTCAACTGTGACTTTCAACTTTCATTGTCCACAAACAAACACTTTAACTATTCTATCTTTAAATAAATAAATACGTGATTTTTTGAGCCAAAAGAGTGAAATGCAAACGCTCCATGTGTATTAGTGAGTCATTCAATTGTTGTCTACTAATTAAATATTTTACACGTCAAAAAAAAACCTAAAATGAGATTTTGATTTGAATATATATAAAAGGGATTCATTAAGGGTAGAATTGTCATTTCAACATTTTTTTAACCTTTGTGGGCCTAAAAAGTTACTCCTAACTCGAGCAAAATACGTGCACATCACACATTTTTTCATGTAAGACTCACGTGTTTATTTATTAAAATGTTGAATAGTTAAAGTGTCTATTTGTGCAATATGAAAGTTGAAGGTCAAAGTTAAAATTTGAAGCCAAGTTTAGAGTCTAATATACTATATTATACCTTAATAATATTTGTATTGATAATGTTTGCATTAATAGTATAAAATATTATTTCTTATGCATTGTTTGATTTTGTGTACATGTATTGCATAAAAATATGCTCTCTCCATTTCAAAAAGGATAGTCTAGTTTGACTTGGAACGGAGTTTAAGAAAAGAAAAAAAAATTAATCTTGTGGTTCTAAATTAAAGTTATGTCAAATGTACCAAAATGTCCCTTAATCTTGTGGTTTTCAACATGTCACGTGAAAAGTGAAACTGTTGCCAAAAAAGGAAATGAGTCATTCTTTTTTAAACAGACTGAAAAGGAAATAGAGATATTCTTTTTTAAATAGAGGGAGAGTACTTGATAACTCTATCAGGTCTCTTGCAGTTAGTTTTATTGAGAGTGTGTTCTTCTTGAGAGAGACAAAATACACTTTGTACTTTGATACCTTAGCTTGAGTGTGTAAACTAGGTCATTTCATGTCAATAAATGTATATTATCCTCTTAACAAAACAACCTAGTACTGTCCTTCCATTGGATGAGAGCTCTGTCCTTTTTTCCCGTGCTCACCAACCATAACAATGTTGGCAGCTTTACAGTTGTTCCTCGTTTGTCCTAGGAACATCAAACATGCACGACTCATAGGACCAGGTCTTGTTGATTGTGAGGATCATCAAAACAACAGAGTTACAATACTGTTGATCACGTTCATGATTATTGGCTGAATCACAATAAGAAAAGCACATACCTTTTTATCCGGATCATAGGTTCTATTGTTTCATCATCTAGTAGATGGAACTACACTTGACAGTTGTATGACAAATGTGTATAGTATAATGTTGATGAAAACTATACCTGAACGACTTCCACGACAGTTTTCAAAATTCCAGCAGTTGCCCTCTTTGTATAGTGGCATGTAGCAACAATTCGATCAATATAGGTATCGCAGAGTCTCAAAACTTTTCCATGCTTTGAAAATCCTTTCACTGACACGATTGTATATAATGGAAATTGTTTTCTAACAACTTACTGAAAATAGAGCAATGCATGTTTTCAAAGTTAGCTTTCTTTTTTTTCCTATTCTATATAGAAATCAAAACTTGGTAACTAAATTATTACAAAAACAAAAAATAAATATTCATATGATTCATGAACCTAAGTGGAATTCGATGTTTTGAGCAGCACAAGAACCGGCGTCATTGATTTTCCCCAATAAGAATGGTACTGTTTTCTTCAGGATCATCTTGAATGACAGGCTGATAGAATATATGCCTTCACTTAACAAGTAATGGACCAGGTCCCTTACTACACTAATGAATAAAACAGAAAGTTAAATGCAGTAAAATCAACACAATGATTTTACGTAGAAACCTCCTTGCTTAAGGGAGTAAAACCACGACCTGTCTCACAGGATTTTCAATCGTTTTCACTAATCTTCAAAAGCAAAAGCAAAACACGATTACACCAAACGTAAGAAAGAGTTATCAATCTTACAGTTAAGCAATAGTCCTCTATTGCTTAACAAGCCTAAGTAGAAAACAATCTACCCACTAAGCTATCCCACCTGGACAACCTAGACTTCTAACACAACACACCAATTCCTTTATAGATTCAGGAATGGTTTACAGTTTAAGAACAAGAGAATGAATTCCTAAACAACTAGACGAAAAGCTCCAGATATTGCTGTTGTTCTTGGAATAATTCTGCCTTTACTTTGTAGTAGCTTTTGCAAGAGTTCTTGAAAAGTTTTTATCAAGTTGCAAAAACTCAACTAAAATGTTTAGGAAAGTGCCTTTTATATGGGCAAGTCACTTTCCTAAACTTCTTTGCCATTGGCTGAAAAAGTCACACTTTCTGACGCCATCGGGAAGTGTGCACCTACTTTCTGTACCGTCTCTAGCTGGCAATCAACTGACTCCTCATTATGAGAGCCTGGTACCTCTACTAGGTCCTTGAGTTTGTTTTCATCTGTAATACTCAAGCAAGAAATCTGCAATACTCAATTAAGAAACTAGTACCTTTACAAGGTCCCCAAGTTTGTCGAATCATCAAAACTACAAATAACATTTTCCCCCTTTTTGATGATGACAAACACTGAAACCATGATCTAATATCCTTTCAACTTTGTTCCCCCTTTTTATATTCACTCTCACTACATTCCCCCTCACTGTATGTTCCTCCTCACTAAAATATCATTTAGCTACACACAGTTTTACTTCCCCCTTTTGGCATCATAAAAAAGAAACGCAGTAAACCAGTGATGTGAGCAGAAACACTGAACAAGATCAAAGCTAAAAAGCAATCAAACAGTAGAGGAAAAGCATTCTCAAAAGAAGATAGGAAGAACAGCAAAAGAATAAAGTAACCAACATGCCATCATAACATAAATACATTAAAAATAAACTAAAATTCATCGACATATTGATAAGCCACACAAAAAGATGACACAGGGGAGGATTGATTAACAGGCTAGGAAGATGGGGGAGTTTGAGATAGGGACTGGATAACAAGAGTGAGTCGTGCATTGGCAGCATCATTATCCTTGATGGCCTTTTCTTGCAGGGCAGTTATCTTCGCCTTCAACTCAGCATTCTCTTTCTCCAGAGCTTGAACAACTGAAGAACCAGGTCCCTCACTCTGTGCAGTAAGTAGTTCTGTTTTGAGTATAACAATTTCTGCCTCTTTACCACTCAACCGCACAGTGAGCTCTTCAATCTCGTGTTTAAGCTGATCCTGGTCCTCAATAAGTTGAGCCATCTTGCTTTTTGGATAGCCTCTGCCTTCAATGCATTCACACTCAAACAAGGTATTCTCAGAGATAGTCTGTTTAACTGTCCCAACCTTTCCAACACTAAGAGAAATTCGAAAATGCTTGAATACTTCCGTGAGAAAGTATCCATAACCCATTCCATGAACACCTTTCCTCTCAATGACGGTTTTGTGAATGTGCTTAATCATTAGAATAAGGAGGCTTAGGGCTTCAAAGCTACACAACATCTCCATCACATATAGATCAGCAGCAGTTGCAACTGTCCTCTTTTCTGTGCGAGGAAGGAGCACCTTGTTGACGAACTCAAAGACCAACTGATACTCACTCTTCATGATTTTCTTAAAAATCCCAGCTACCTTAGTTGTGGGTGTCTTTGAAATCATAGAAGCAAACTCAGAAGAGCAAGTTTTGCCCAGCATAGACCGGGTCCCCTTTGTAGGCACCCTGAGGATTTTGCTCAACACCTCCTCATCCAAAGATATGCCAATATCGTTTACCCATGTGAGGATGCTCCCATCTTCCATGAATTGGACATTGTAGTAAAATTTACGAACTTCTTCTTCATGGAAGATGGGGAATTTCTTGTCGAACAAGTGCAGCCAAGATTGAATCTCCACCATGTCATGCAGAGAATCCATGCCAGGAAGAGTTATAATCCCCATATCAAAAACTCTTCCAGCTAGGACTGCTTGTTTCCTCAGGCTGTCAACTACTTCCTGCATGTTGACATTCTCAACTTTCCTGGCTTGGGAACCAGGTCCCTGTGATCGCTTTCTCATTTTCTCAGATCTCTTCCCTTTTGACTGTGACTTTGCAGCCTTCCTTGTAACCCTTTCCCTTTTCTTTTCTGACTTCTTCTTCTTATTTTTCTTGTCCACCTCTTCTCCTGACAACTCCACCACATTAGCTTCAGGTAATTTAAAATTTGATACCTTGAAGGTTCTTGCACTTCTAATTGCAGCAGAAGAACGTGCACTTGCCTTCAAGGCATCAACCATCAACTTTTGTGCAGCGGACCTTGTAGTAGATCGTCTCCTAGGAGCCTCCTCCACAACCTTTTCCTTCCCCTTTTTAGATCCCACCCCTTCTCTTTTCTCAACCTTCCATTGTAATGGCTCCTCCTCACTAGCAGAGTCGGAGAAAGAGGAAGAAGAGCACCTTCCTAAATCAGGGGTTTTATCAAAGATAGGCTGAGTAGGTCTTACCTCTTCCTTTTCCAGGACTTCAGTATGCTCTGCCCTTGCTTCTTCTCGCATTATGGCCAGGCTTTCAATCACGAGTTTCTCACTCGCTGCCAGTATGTTAGACTCGGAAGCCCTATGTTTTGGTAGATCCCCTTCAAACATGTTGTCTGGCAACATGTCTTGAAACGGACCAGGTATAGAAGGCACTGCAGCAGTGTTTAGATCTATGGAGAAAAAAGGGTTATCAGGAGTGTCTTGTGGAGGACTGGGTGGGGGAGGAAGTCTGGCTTGAGCAATGGTCGGAGAATAAAAGGCAAGGGGCTCTATTTCACTGAGAGC